AGACTATTCGACTCTGCCACTAAAAAATAGGGGTGTTTTCAGCAAAAAACGAATAACCCTGGAATACACACAATATACTGAATTTCGGAACAAATCGCGCATTACTTACAGCAGCAGAATACCACAGAAATATCAGACGAAACATGAAAACACTATATATTGTATTTCAGCCTGAACCCTCTATATTGCAATTCAAGGAATTAACCCCATATGTGCATCCATTTCCCACCTTGGTATCACCCACCCCTGAAAACAAACTCTTAATACCACGCTGAAGCGTTTGGTAACAAGTTCCAGAAGTACATCAAAGATTGAAAATATCCGCGGTTTGTGTTTTTACAAGAATTAAGTTCACAGTCTTTTATAAAAGTGTACAGAGGGTACTTGGAGTTACGACCTATATTTAAGCTGTTGATATCGGGAATCATTATAAACACTCGAGCTTAATGCAACTTTTGGATTCTGTATACGAAAGATTCAGCCTATCACAATGCATATATTTTAGCCAATCGGATCCTTTTTGACCTATCACAAACATGTAATATATCCCTTCCTGCCTAAATTCAAGAATGCGACATTCTCCTATTGAGAAATTGTCCTCGTACTTGTCAGATGCTGTTTTATGTGAGTAAAGCCACAGTTATCTCGCCTCCGTTATCTCCATCCACCCGAATCTCTTCTATACAATATTATTCTACACAGTTGAATCAAGTCTGGATTTTTAAAATGAAATTTCGCTATTTTTTAGAGTTTACAGGTATCTGTAAACCCGTAAACTAACAATGAGAGTATTTGGTTTCACCACAAGCACTATAATTAACTCGTTTTTAGCCACTAATCCCTTGATTAACTCTTGTTATAATCTCACGGCCAATTAAGACATTATATAACCTTTAAGAGTCGAAACAAATCAATTAATGAACCACGACTAATAATAAGCCTAATTTTAGGTCCGGTATTAATAATTTTACTAGGGTTTCTACTCCGTAATAAGGTGCCTCTCTGTGAATTCTAAGCGATCTCACAAATGATTTAACAACTATTATCGCGATTTTGTTTCCAGACTTGTTCCAAAGCTTAAATAATAACTGGAGGTTTTTTCCCGGGTCCTGGTCTCAAATTCGACAGTCTATTCGAAGAGATAGTTATTAGTTTGCTACCCGAACATTATGAAAATCAGTACCGGGTCAGGTTTCCACATCAAACAGAAACTCTCGTTTCAAAACGGTGAACTCAGCGAACAAAACTCAAACTTGGACAGTATTCTCTCAGTCCGTAGTCAGAGACAAGTTTACAGTGAAAAACAGGCCTTTTATATAAAATCTGGCATAGCAAGAATTGCTCAGACTCTACGGAATTTTTTGGATTTGTACTCTCATTGGTCAATTTCTCTAAATATCCATTTAGGTCAAACACAGGGAACTTGTTATTGTCAAAACCGGGCTATGTTGACATCCATATTTGGTAACACAGCAAGTTGGGAGATACTTGAAGAATCTATGTCACCTGTAATAAATACACTTCAAAACATGGGTGTTATTACATTTCTTAATTGGAAGGTCATAAACAAGTGTATCTATTTCAAGAGGGCTCTTAGGAAGTTTTCAAGTATGGGAAATATTTTAGGGATCGAATATCTACTTGTTGATCTGTCTTTACGTGTCTTCAAGATTCTTTTACAACAGTTGACATATGATCCGGACAAGACATGGAAAAAGGGGGGGGGGTGTACAATGTACTAGGCGGACATTTTATTACAATACCATATATCCTTCTTTTCCTGATTTGACTAGTTTGGTGTACGTGCCAGTTGTTTTGTATTGTTCTTGTGGAGTGTTTTGCGTGTATTTAACAGCAAATTGCTATTAAGTTAACATAGTTTTTTTCGAAAATATAAATTATATCATGGCAAATTTCACGCAATATTGCATGTATAGTTTTCAGTTAAAGGGAATGTCAATGTTTATAGTTTCCTAATATTATGTGCATGTGATGTTAATTATAATGTATTTATTGTTGCTGGAAATTGTGTGTGTCGATTTCATGGGCTTTTAATACATGACTGCCAATAGATACGTACACTGCCATTGTTCTACATATAAATGCCTGAACGTCTGATTAATCGACGTATTCAAGTAAGATGGCGACCTGCAAATATTATGGATTAACAAACGCCAAGGACTGGCATGGCAAAAAATATTCGTGTTTGTTTTTATTTGAAACATCCTTTAGAATATACAACATTTCATGAATCTTATTTTCGAACCAAATTTTACGGTATACAGGTACGAATGCGTAGGGTTCTAATCCAAATTCTAGAAAACTAATGATTTTTGTGTCTTGAAACCAGTGTGTTTAGATAACCCGACGATAAAACGTCACAGTGTCACCCAGATGTTTACGTATATGTATGCGTTGTT